CTATGCTGCAGTCCATTTGCAGCTGCAAAAAGGTCCAAAGGATTGCATTTAGTGCTATAAAGGAAAAGAAAGCATTACAGGAACAACATCTGCCTTGATGGAAACAACTGTCTCATATTCTGTGTTTAAAACTTGACCTACTGTTTGGTTTCTCAAACCTCTGTGTATGACAGGGGAAAAATACGCAACCTTTTAAGTCTGGATATATGATGGTTGTTTAAGAGACTGTGGCCTGAGTCAAAAGTGGTTATGTGCCCTGGTCTTGTAAATCTGTTGGGATTTTTAAAGATGAGAAATAAAAATGTCATCTTTTTCCTCTGCATATACATGCAAATTGCCTGCATGTTTGTCTGGATTCCCAGTGTTACCTCTGCTCCCTGTTTTGCAATGTCATTTTATTGTTATTGTAAGTACAGTCTCTTTGTTTTCTCAATTTTCCAAAAGGTTAGATGGAGATGATAGATTTCTGAGTGAGGGAATGCAGCTCACATTTGTATTCACTCAGCTGGTCATTCACTGAATTTGATACTCTGTTTCAGCTGAGTTAGGTTTGGTGCAAAAAAAGGGGGAGAAGAAGCAGGGGACAAAGATGGCTTTAACACATCTCTCATCCCTGTGCCAAGCTAGCTGGAGGCCAGCTCGGGCTCTGCTGCAGGTTAGAGCAGTCCAGGGGCTGCAAGCAGAAGAGGCGCTGGGAGTAAATCCTGCGGTGGGGAGCAGCTCTGGCATCAGCCACCGTCACTGGCCACACCACAGATGGCCCAGGGAGATCCACCAGCTCCATCTCGAGCTCAGATCTTGGTGTCTAAAGAGGAAGAACAAACTCAAGCAGGAATGTGTGCTCCCTGCTGCAATACGCGACCTTCATGTCCCATCCATCCAATTATTACTTTCTCTCTAAAAGGTACATGAATCAATGAAGTATTTGAGCCTCTGAAGCAGGCTGAGACATACTGTGAAAGAGGGAACCTAAATATTTAACTCTTTCTTGAACTGTGCCTGCTGCAGACCTCCACACGGTGGTATTCCTGCGTCCTTACTCACCGGTGTTTTGCCACCCGCGCTAAAGCAAGCTCACGCGGTCAGCAACGCACCAGCTTTGTAGAGTCTTTCCTGCTCCTGAGATACCCCACTTCACTCAAGGCAGGACCAAACAAAATAAATCCCCCAAATACCATCGGGGCTGGAGGTCTCCCTAAACCCTTAACAAGCTGCAAGCGCACACCCAAAAACGTGTTGTAGCACCTTGCTTATGTCAATTCCTACCCTGAAGGCTAGCATCAAGGCAAAGAAAGGGACATGCTTCTGCCTTCTTCCCAACCCTCCGATACAAAGGATGCTTCTAAGCCCACTTAGAATAACACTGCCTACCCGCAGCTTTAGACAAGCGCTATTCAAACGGAACTTATTTTACTGAGGAAAATAATTAATAGGTTCGGCACTGAAGACTTGACAAAGCACAATGGTGTCAAAAGAGGGGAGCTCGGGCCAAGACTACGTTCTGATGATGCCTTGGCCGCCTTCCTGCAGGAAAGCCCTCCCGAAGCCAACACGCTCACACAGCGCTGCGCTCTTCACATCATCTCTCCCGAGAGCGGACTCTGCCTTGCCCTGCGGACCATAACCAGTTCATCCTATTGCAGGACGCAGTATGTGAAGCGTGGGTGGGAAAGG